CGGGTTCATGGAGGTTAGGGGAAGAACCGATCAAGTAAAAAACAGCCACCTGATTTAAGGTAAGTTGGGATGGGAGGGGCTAGCAGGGGCAGGGAGGTTGGGGGATCAGGGGGACAAGCAGGCTTGGGGGGATCAAGGAGTCTGTAGGGGCAGCACCCAAGGAAGGGGCAAGCAGGAGCTGAAGGAGGGAACAGGGAGGCATAAAGCATGCGCTAGGACCCTGGGGGTACCTCCTCTGCTGCAGCAGAAAGAATAAAATGAATTCAGCAGGAAATAGGAACCTGGGGAAACTGCCGTGGCTGGAACCTGTAACCAACTCCTTGAGTAGCTATGGGCCAAATCCACTCTTTTCATGACCATAGGTTGCTGAACCCTGACCTAGATACCTACACCTAGATTATGTATCTATGTATAAAATCACCTGCACTGTTTTATCCTCACTCTCCTCAGATCTGGATCTATAGTTCTGAACACCTAAAACTCCACCTACCGTTCTGGAAAACAGTGTCTTTATAAAGGAACGTAATGTCATCCAGTAGTATTTTCCCTGCCGGAGAGGAAATCCCTTGAAATTTTAAGAGCTTCTGGTGCATTATAAGAAAATACATAATACTTTAAAGTAGAAATATGCAGTAAATTTGTGGCAATTGTCAGAATTGGCCACTATATCAATAGTATTCAACCAGGTTTTCAGTCCATTGTGTGCAGGTAAATCCAAGACAAATCTTTGTGAACACCCTTAATGTTTTTGTTTATATTAGCTACAAAATTAATTCTATACAGAAAATAACATTTAAAATAAATTTTGCTTTTCCCTAGCAAAGTGCACTATATACACTCTTACGTGCGCTGCTTTTCCAGTAAAGTTTTGAACGTGGAGATTAACTCAAGGTAGGAAGTAGGTGTAACATAGTTATGTCTTTGAAGCTCAGCATGAAACAAATCAGATAAAGCTATGGTAGAAGTGTGAAAGCTTTTACACATATCAATACAGCCTTTCCGAGTTTCCTCTGACATTTCAATATCTTCCAAAAAGCGAGAAGCAACAGCTTCCAATGCATCTTCAGGCCATGTCTAAAATTAAAACAAACAACAAATAAATAAATACCCGTCTTTTATATAACAGCTTCTATTCACAGTTTGAAAACCACTTTACAATTAAGCCAATATCATTTCTATTTTAAAGATGAAATGCAGGGTACATACAGGCATTACACTTAGAACAACCAAACTAGGGTTAGGCCAACTAAGTGCTGATTTGTATAACGTTGAGTTTAGAATGAGCAAATAACGGCCAGCCCCATATAACTTAGTTCACCTAGGGAAGCGCTAATCTGTGTCCGACCTAACCAAATGTGTGTACATGCTTGGAGCACAGCCCTGGGGCTGGGAAAACCTAGCCACTCACCCCAAACCCAGGCTGCATTTTTCTTGCTGCTTCCCCCTAATCCTGACTAAGCTATCTTTAGCCCTCCAACCCCTTCCCCCCATCCTGCCAACCCTCTACCAAACACTCCAAACCCTCCTGCGGATCTGCTAGGTTCTGCCCACCCCAGCTCAACTTGCTTAGGGCTTGGACAGACATTCAGTTTCTCCAGGGAGAGTCCCTGCTCTTTCAGGAGAAACCACGAGTGCACACAAGTTCATAATTTTTCTCCCAGAATAAAAGTAACCACTCTGGGAGAAAAATAATTAGGGAACAACCCGAGTAAAGTGGCTCCACAAAGAATATCTCTCAGGAGAAAGAATTCCTGTACAGACAGCAGAACTGACCTGCAAAATCCCAGTGTGATTTGCTTCTGTGTCAGTCTCAGCCAAACAGGGAGCAAAACACACTCCATAAGTGCTTCAGGCTGGAAAAGCCCAGCACTAAGCCACTTAAGTGGCAAGTTCTGCTCCCAGCTGTGTCCCTGCCTGAATCATACTGCAGCACTTAGGAGCAGAGAAGTATACAAGAATTTGCCTTGTCCAGTCTTAGCTCCAACACAGCACTGGTTGGGGGGTGAGGGAAAAGGGAGGGAGGGAGAGGGTGTGGAAAAGGGTGGAAAAGGTCTGTAGGACTCTTCTGTGCATGGCACAGACCCTGCCCCTACCTTCCCTGACCCTAATGATCCCTGTCTACATTGACTTGAAAAAAACACCTGCAAAGCTCTCTAGACTGCATGCTCTAGGGACCCTGGCAGCTGAGTGTCTTCACTGCAGGCTCCTTACTTCTCTGTCTCAGGGGTGACATGTAGGGGGAGCAAACGGGTGCATGTGCATCCCCTGAGCATGGTGGTGCACCCCCTACAAAAAGGCACCCACTACCACCCTGTGATCATCACTGGCTGCCGCCGCCAGCACCTAGGGGTTGTCACTGACCCCTGATTGGCACTTGCTGCCCCCTCCCGGCTGCCGCTGCTGACAGCGCTGGTGGCATCTGCAGGAGCTCTGTGTTTACCGCTGCTGCACTCCCGCCGCCAACAGCCCAGCCATGCCCCCCCAGCGGCCAGGGGCATGCATCATTCATGCTCTGTCTCATTCTGTACAGGTGAGTTTTTCTCTCAGGAAAAAGAAACCTGGGAGCATGGCTCCTGGCATTAGAGAACATGTGCACAAGTGGGGACCCAAATTATGATCACATGGCTTAAGGTAAGCTACATGATAACAGACTGGGTCCCATGAATGTGTGCACATGCCTCGAGGCACAAAGGTATAATGACTTGTCTAAAGTCACCCAGCAGGCCAGTGGGAGAGCTATAACAGAATTCAGATCTCTGAAGTCCTAGTCCAGTCTCTATCCAGTAGATTGCCCTAATTTTCCCGTAATAGTAGTTTTTACAAGAGAAGTTTCACATTTTTATATTCACTAATAGGAAAACCAAATGTAGTACAATGATTTACTGCAACCTGAAACTTCAGAAAAGCAGGTCTCTAAGTAAGTAGTACACCCAGGTGCAATAAAGAGCACCCAGGTTTGTCAAAGGATATATAACCAAACCTTGATTAACTGAAATCAGATAACTAGGACTGTATTGTGAAAAATAAAAAGAGCCATAATTCTGCTCTTTAGATGTATGGGCAACTCCCACTAAATTCAATGAGAGCTGTCAGTGCTTAATCAAAAGCAAACTTAGTTTCTACCCTTCTAGTATGAAAAAGCACAGTTAGTCGTCAGTTGTTACAACTGTATTAAATGAAAAACTCTTACTTGTTTTATTGGTGTAAATGTTCCTTATAAAAATATCTCCATCATTCTTTAATGCATGGTTTTTTTAAACAAAAGGATTAACTGAATTTCATTCATCTAAAGGTCAAAACTCACTGCAGTGAATGTCAATCTGTCTTTTAAACATGTGTTTAGTTTAACAATTGTTTCCAAATCTTTTAAAGTTAAATTAACCAGATTAAAATTTAATGTAAAATAGAGTGCAGTAGAACTTTTGTCCCAGTCCTGCAATAGTCAAATGCTTTAACATTAAACATGCCTTATTCCATAAGAAGTTGATTGATCATGCACAAAAATATCTGTGTAAGTCTTCGCAACACAGTAACTTACGTGTGCATGTATCCTGTAATCACAAATTAAAGAGAATAAATGTGGTTCCCATCTTCAAAAAGGGGAGGAAGGAGGACTCAGGAAACTATATGCCAGTTAGTCTTACCTCAATCCTGAGTAAGCTTTTTGAGAGAATTATCCTGGCACATGTCCATGAGGGGCCACCAGGGGAGGTTATGCTTAGGAGCAACCAACACAGGTTCATTAGAGGCAGGTCCTGTCAGACCAACCTGGTGGCCTTCTATGACCAGGTCACAAAATCCTTAGACACAGGGGTAGCAGTGGACATAGTCTTTCTGGACTTTAGGAAGGCCTTTGACATTGTCTCTCACCCCGTTCTCATTAAGAAACTGGGGGACTGTGGTGTCAACACCTACACAGACAAATGAGTCACCAACTGGCTGGAGGGCCGCACCCAGAGAGTGGTGGTGGATGGGTCATTTTCGACCTGGAGGGATGTGGGCAGCGGGGTCCCCCAGGGCTCAGTCCTTGGGCCCGCACTGTTCAACATCTTCATCAGCAACTTGGACAAGGGGGTAAAAAGCACCCTGCTCAAAT